TCTGCCAGAAGAATGGACATTAGTAACCTATCTCTAATAATCCTGTCTGGTCCATTACTCAAATAGGTTTTTACATAACCATGACCCAGATCAGTTAGGAGCATTCAAATTTTTGGATGTTCGATATGAAATAAACTGAACTGGAAGACTCATCAACTTCTATATGGAGAGAGAAAACAACTGTCCAGTAGTAGCCGCTCATAATATCGATGTGGGAAGGGCAGCGAAAGGACTGTGATATAAAAAAAGGAAGATAAGTGATAAGACCGGTTGACACAAAATAGTGATAAGATACAATTGATAATATATCTGCAAACAACCGGAATAAATAGAACAACGCAGAAATCACAGAATTACAGAGAGGACAATTCTTCCTGGAACATGAGGACATATCTCATAACATTTGGATCTTAAGCCAGAATCTGAATATTCGATGTTTTTAAAATCTAGGTTGAAAACATGCTACACTATCGGTACATTTCTCCGTTGTAATTAATGATGACAATGATAATAACTCATTAAATACAATAATATCTAAAAGAATTATAATAGATATTATAGATATTATAATCCTTTTCAATGAATACAAGCAAATTTTTAAATTCGAATCCCAGACATTCCCTTTTATATATAACAGATTATATGTCCTTCAAAATTCGAAATTTAAATTCCTGAAATGAAACTTAAATTGCTGAACTAAATAATCTAATAGATGTGGAAAATGTAAATAAAGAGCCACTTATTAGTAGAATGGATAAGAAAGATAAAAATAGAATGGACAAATGGATACGTGAAGAAACAAAAAATATGCGAAAAGGCTTTAAATTAAAAGAGAACATAAATCTTGTAAAATTTTAAGGAATAGAATTTTATGAAATTTCTACATATGTTGTTTATGCTAGCGATCCGTCCAGTCAAACTGAATGACAATATTAAAAGTTTTGAATCCCAAATCTACAATACAATTATATTTTTTAACAATGAACATGTCAGATAATGCCAGATAATATTTCGATTTCAAAAATTGAATGACCAATTCGCAACCAATTCAAATGTAATACGGTAGTAAATTCTAGTTACATTCGTCAATGGCTTTCTTACTGATTGCCGACACAGTTAATTAAATATTCTCAATGACTTCCTCTCTTTTCGATTTCAATTCAAATTTTATTCATTTGAACAAGCAAGACATGAGATTGTTCGCGTAGGTATGATGAATCCTGTGGAAAAATTTTGATCTAAACTATAGAAGCGATCTCATGTGCAATATTAGTTATAAAAAGTTGAGTTGAAAGTTGCAAAAAATTAAAAGAACTGAAGTGAAGTGAACCACAGGAAGTAAACAAGTTAATGTCAACCTAAAGGGTTGTGTTTGTATTAGAATTAATAGCGCACAACCTTATGTTAATCCTTGCGAGCTAGCGAAGAAATTGGTAATCACAATGAAATAATGTTTACTTTCACTTCAGCAAATACATATAATGGACAATTTAAATTTGAAAACTCAATTGATCAAATAATCGTATCAGAGAAATAAGTAGAAATGGTAAATGAACCCTTTAAATATGAAAAGTTGCCAAGAGGGCAAGAGAACTAGTGACTGGCACTAACCACTATGAATCAAAACTACTGAAGCATGACTAACCAACCAATGGATAGACTAAAAGTACAACAATAGATTTAAAAAAAAGTGTCTGAATAAAACGAATGATCGATTAACTAACCATGTAGTTATGTTACATTTAATATTAGTGGAAATATTAATGAATAATCTGAAAGCACCACATCTTATGCAAAAGTGTTCGTTCTAGATCAGAAATAAAAATAATTATGTAAACAAATAAATAAATACCTATATTTAGAAATCCGTTTATGTCGAAAATCATGCAAGTATGCACTTCTCATTCAGTTACAAATCAATATGCTCTTATCCGGTTACAAATCAATATATCTTCATCCAGTTACAAATCAAATCATATTGTTTATTTCTTTTAATTGATTGTTGAAAATACTAACCAGATGTGACAAGCATGAAATATATTCTTCTTCCAAATCTGAAAATATTCTCTGATTATTCCAAAATTTTAAGTTGACTTATTTTTACTGAAACAATCAAACGTTCATCACAAAGTTATTCAAATAGAATTAATTAAATTTCTATAACGATGAAAAGCTCGAGGAAAAACTTTTGTAATTTGATCATGTTAGAATGCAAATATAATGCGATCTATCTTGTTTAGTTGATTTTTCGAAATTCATTTAAAATCGACTTACATAGCATTTCCCAGTAGTTCGTAATGAAATCAGAATAAGTTATCGAAACAAATCCGCATTTGATGTAGAAAGTAATATTATTTTCTTGTCGGAAAAATGCTTTATGCTATCATCATTATTCTTATTCACTCTAGTATAAATTTCCTATGAATTGTTTGAGAAGAAAATGCTCCGTTTTTTATCCTCCGCGATCTCTCGATCCCTTCTCATTGTAACATTTTATACCACTGATTACGTCCAACACTCGCTCATCCGTTCATGACTTAGGAACAATTCGAACTGATCCATAATGAATGGTTGGGATTAGTAAAATTTCATATCGTCTCAATGATAGTGCTGCTTTGATTTCAGCTGAGCGCATGATGAGTTATGTTTGTGTATTTGATGAAAGTTGTTGGATGCGTCAGGTGGGAGGATGGAAGTCGTGAGACGTTTCTGAGATCTTTTCGGCGAAGGGAGCATTTTTGGATCTATCGAAAATCGTGAATGCTTTCAATAAGTTATTTCATTTTCATTTTCATTATGATTAGATCGTTTCGAATTGCGATATGGAGAAGGAATTGATCTGTAATGATCTTACGCTAATGAAATTTTCAATATATTTGCAGTATGCGCTACCAATAATTCAAGTGAGAGGTGTGTGACAGATTAAAATGCGGTTATCGCTGGTGAGATGCAAAGTGCCAACAAACACAAAGTTGTGGCAAGATCCAGTTCTGGGATACTTTGAAACGCATGGGAAAATGAAATTCATTGCTGGAGAAGACTACGGCATTAGCGATGAAGAAAAAAAGGTCATTTCTAATTGTTAGAAATCTTTTCATGCTCACAAAATGTTATAACAACTGGATTTCTTCTGTTAGTTTCTTGAGGTTGAAAACCACAGGTTTATTCTGTTTGTCTGCAGTTTTATGGTTGCGTGATATGCCGTATATTTGTACTCATAGTTTTTTGTTATTTTGTATCTTTGGTTTTTCAATTCCAGGAGTTCGACTTAGTAGTGCTATCGATGTTTTTGCTATGCTTTTTAGTATTTTTATGGATTTCAGGCTGTTTTGTGGCGATACCGTTTGAAAGAAGTCCTTAAGAAAGAATATCTTAGACGAGAATACGATCCACATACCTTCAAATATAAGGTAACTTGTTCCCATGGAAGATTTATTTGTCTCAAGTTATTCACGCATGTGTCCATGTCGTTCATGTTTATTATAACATTAAAAAGAAAGAAGATGGAAATAGCATGAGAATTCTGCATACCGATCTCGATAGGTTTCAGTCTCGAAGTTAAATTGAATTAGTTTGCGGTGAACTGGTAGTCTGAACTTCTGAATTTTCTTCCACTTTCCTTTTTTTCTAGCTCACGGATTATAGGAAGGTGTAGTAATTGATCCAGCTGTTTTTCGATGGTATTCGGCTAATGCGATGCAGTATGAGTTTTTCCGTTACACCCCACGATCTGTGTTCCTCTACGCTGGCTCATTTATCTTCGTATTCTATATTCTGGTTCGAATAATGTTCCAATATGAGGTAGGCTTTGAAAATTCTGGGATATACCAAGATTTTCGTTGATGTTACGTTTAAGGCGTCGGAATCCAATCAACGTGAATAGGTTGATCGTAAGCCATCTGAGGTTATTCGAAATATTCCTCTGTAACAGTTACTACAGCAAAACGCTTAATAATAAGTAATGAACAGTTTAAGAAGCACAAGATAAATATTTCTTGGTTGATAGACTCTTTGTCAAATAATAGTAATTTCCGCTTTAACTGTTCATCGACAATAACGAAAAATTTCTGTTGCTCATTTTACATTTCGTTATGTTGTTTTTTTGCGTCTCAAAAACTCGCTGAGTTTATTTTGCGTATAGACCGATGCGTGAGGTAGTGGGGAAAGAAGTGGCATAAAAAAAAAGGAAAGGTTAAAGTTAAGGTTAAGTTAGTTTTAAGGTAATTTATGTGTTTGAGTTTTTCATCGGCAAATTATTCAAATGCTGTTTTTGCATAGCGGACTGGGATTGCGTATGGAATACCTTTCCAGTACACTTATACTTTGTATTAGGTCTGATGTAATGAGAAATGAAGCGAAATTTAAAGACATCATTTCTTCATCATATATAATTTAGTTGCTTTTGGTTATGTGAACAGTTAAAACTTTCAAAAGTTTAGGATTCTGGACGTGACATGTGCTTGGATGGTGAATTACTGTGGTGGGATCGTATGTACAATCGCCATGTAAACACATGCGGCAACTACCATTACAGTCCAACGTTTGTGAATTAGGAGCCATTGTAATTGATGTTTTAAATGTCCCAGGCTTATCTTTCATGTATTGTATATAAAATAGATAAATGATTTTGTATCCGCATGTGTGTTTGTCTTGGCCTTATACCAGTTTACATCGAGAAATGATTAAATTATGGATATATCCATAAATTCAAAGTGTTGCTTGCTTTTTTCGGGAAACCTCGTACATAGAGTTTCAGCATCTTGGCGGGATAAAATAGTTTTTGAATTTTGAAACTAGTAAACTGCAAAGAGTTGCCGGAATGCAGTGTTATTCGCAGTGTTATTCGTAACATTCGGCATAAATGGTCAAGTACGAACTGAGGTTTAGACATGACCGTACTGATTCAATTGATGACAGATTGGGATGGTATTCTGTTTAGCTCTCATTGTTGAATTGCTTTAGAGTGCTGGTGGTTGTTTCCATCTTATTTTTGTGAAATTATGGGAATGAAAGCTGTACTTAAGACCGTTCGTCAACATATCGATGCAAAAGAATTCAAGAAAGCAAGGGACATTATAGAGGTGTGCTAATTTTGACGACATAGTGCTTCATACGCTCGATACTGTTATTTCTGGGTTTTCTTTGTTGATTATCATTAAGTCTGGCCATCTCGTTTTAAATTCTTCACCGGAAACAGTTCCCTTTTCACTTTATTCTAATTTTTTAAAAGGTGACCGATCTTAAGAGTTGTAATTTCATATTTAAGAGCTTAATAACTCCTACTTATTGGTTCCAGGATCTGTTGAAGCAGGATGTATCTGATTATTTGTTATTCGTCTTCGCGGCAATTACAAATGGGGAAATTGGGAATGATTGCCAGGCTATTAGTTATTACAAAAAGGCAGCCGAACTTGATCCAGAGAAGCCTTTGGCATGGCAAGGATTGTATAAACTTTATGAACAAGGGAAGTATGTTGATTTGGAGCAAGTCGTAATAGTAATCCAAAATCTGTTACGCATTCCTGGGTATGTTAATATCTTATTCAAATGTATGCAGTCGATTAAATTTTTCTACATTTTCTTCTATCGGAAATTTATCTAAAAGACTTCATAGACTTGTTTACTTCATAAAAACTTGAAAAATCTCCACATTTTTTTCATACTTTTCATATAACTTATTCTTATTATGATATTTTACGGATTTTAGGATGGCTCCAGAAAAAGTTTGTGTGTATGAGAAAGAATTGGGTTCTATTTTACTGAAATTGAAAAGATTTGATGAAGTTTTTTCAAATACCGACCGATTAAATGATGCTGAATTTTGTTATGAAGCACTTAAGGCGATATTGTCCGCTGATGACTCAAATGGTAACCAGGAAATTTGGGTAAATATTCGAATTTGTTGCAATTAACTTCAAACTTTGTGAATTATATGAAGTTTTTCCTTTTTTTTTTTGCATTCCCTTCTAATTTATGTTTCCAGATAGAACAGTGTTTAACTAGAATCGATAGTGGCAAACTGGACTGTAAAATTCACCAGAAATGTGCACTGTTGCGTTGTTCTTGGGCAAAGGTTAGCAGCTTCTTAACATTTTTGCGATTCAATTTTAAAGCTTTAAAATTTCACATTTTGTTGTTTTACCTTGTATTTCTACAACACCAGTCAATAAGGATCGTATATAGACAATGGAAGAAATACGGAATGTATTAAGCCAGCATGTTAGATACATTCCACTCGATGATGGATGGCTAACTAATTTATTGCGATACTTCGTTATTATCTCCTATTTGGAGCTACGTCACGTAGAACCTTCGAGCGGTATTGTCGACATGTTGGAAAATGCAGTAGGGAAAGAAACAGAATTCGAACTTCTGCTTGGATACATTGAGAAGGAACAAACGTCATTATCGATCAAAAATATTGATGAAAATTTGAGGAACGATAGATGCAAATGGTAAATTGATTCTATTTCTTAAATGAGTTAGAAGAAGCAAAGGAAAATGAATGAATAATTTGCAATAGAGACAAGTTGATTAATTTTCTGTACCTGCTTTGTTGTTACAGCTATAACTTTAGTGACTGTGAGTATTCTCGAGATTCTAAAACACCGCCTTAGATGGTGATAATCTGAACTGATTTTTTCCTTTTGATTTTCAAATTAAATCCAAAGTATATTTTTAGGCCGTATATTGGTTTAGCCATCCCACTATTGCTCTTTCAAGAACGATATGAGCAAGTTTTGTCTCTTTTGGATGTAACAATCCCGCACTTACATCCCGCAATTACTAAAGCTTTAAGTGATGAAATTTTCTGTGCTAAATGTGAAGCACTGTACGGTATTCATAACGACAGCGCATTGGCGCAATTAAATTTATTGTTGACTGATTGTTCAGACAGTGAACGAACACCCAGGAATGTACGGTTAGAGGTAATGATTTGGTCGAATTCCAGAGAGTTTTAAAAAGTTTAAGCTTTAAATTTAAAATTTTCATGATTTAAAATCAGTTTAAACTTTGAATTTGTGTGCAAAGTAAAAAAATGTGTATTGTTGTTGAATTTTTTCCGATAATATGTGAAAACGTTGATATGGATGATGTGTCGAAAATAGAAATAATACAAAGGGAGAAATATGAAGATCCTTCTGAGGAGATGTATTGGAAGGCTATAATTTTGAAGAACTCGCAATCAAAAGTTTCCTTACAAGGTGGTGATTAAATTTTTGAATTTGAGGGATTGATGATACTACTTGAATAAGTGGAACCAACCAATTACTTAATCGAGAAGTAATGATACGTATCTTAGTCATTTGTTCAAGTTTAATTCTATTTCTCCAGCGATTATGTCTCCATGTTGGGACCACTCATTTGGTAGTTTTTTATTTTATCATATCTACGCAACTTACTTGAAGCGTTTAAATCCAGTATTCTTGTATTTTGATATTATTTAGTCACTGCCATTTTTCCACTATTGTAAAGTATTCGATAGAGATATCTAATATTATCTAATATTTCTGAGATATTTAATATTCTAAAGAGTCGCAATGCTTTTTTACCTGAAATTTTTTTTCTTTCTCTTCGTCCTTTGCTTTCATCAAAACAGCTGCCAGAATGAATTCAGTATTATTTCAGAAGCAAGATCTTTAGCTGAAAATGCTTCAAAAATCAGTCCGTCATGGCAGCGGTTACTGGTTCTTGGCGAAATTTGTTTGAAATTGAACATCGAAGATGCGTTTGCTACGTCAGCTCTCGTGAAGGCTTGTTTTCTCATAACGGGATAATTAATATCAAAGTATAGGAACCTATGAGACAGTGACATTTTCATCTCACTTCATCATAATTTGTAGTAGTCTTGCAAACTTTCTGCTTTTAAATAAGCATGAAATTATTCAGGTCTACTGTAACTTAAAGAAAATTTACCAAAATTTTAGTACGTTATATTATTCTTCATATTCTCTTATTTAAATTGTTAAATTATTGGAATTGTAGTTGAACTGTTTTGTAATTTAAACTTGACTTATTTGCTTAATTATCAATTACTCTTTATTGCATCATATAACAGAGAGCTTAAATTTAATTTGCAGGCAGCGAAGCTGAATCCATACAGCAGCAAAGTTTTCTTTTTTTTGGGATTGAGTTTGAAGACAAAAAATCGAATCAAAGCTATAGCTTGTTTGGAAAGAGCAGCGAAGATTCGTCCGCAAGATGCGAAGGTAGAACTAACCCATTTAGAATTAAGAAAGTTATTTTTAATTTTTTGTATTATTTATTTATTTAAAGAAAATCAAATGCATATTTTTTAAATAGCATCAATAATGTTTCTTTTCTACCAAAAAATTGTCTAAAGATATGTTCAACATCTAATGAGTAACTATTATTATTTCGTTTCCTTTGAAAGATTGTGAAGCTATTAGACGAACTACTTACTTTGGAAGATCGCAATGAAGAAGCGCTTAGGCACATATTGCAATATTCAAAAATTGTTCCCAAAGACCTTTGGGCAAGGAAAAGATTGGCTTTACTGGAGCTGCAAAGTGGAAATGTAAGTTTTATTTATTTAGGTCACTTTCCTTCGTCAAATGTTTTGATTACATTATATTCAAATGTCTAAAAAGTAAAATTTTTTGATCAGCTGCCATATGAATGGCGGCTATCTTAATTACATGACTTCTGATTGAGATTTCCAGGTAGTTCTATACGATCAGAAGAAGCAATGATCTGATCACTCTGCTGATCTAGTGTTTAAATTTTAAAATCAAATTGTGCAAAGTGTTAGTGGGACTATCCACTATTCTGAATAATATGCGTTTAAAAAATTTTATTCGTTGTATCATTTTCTAAAATCTTATTAAATTTTATAGATTGATGCAGCAATTGATCAAATGCAACACTTTGTTGCATTTGATAAGACAGATGCTAGCATTTGGACTGCACTAGGAGATGCTTATAAAAAGCGCGGAAATTACCAAAGTGCTATCAAAGCTTTCAAGGAAGCAATAGATCTTGAATCAGACAATGAAATTGCTCAAATTCAGGTAAAAGAATTTTTTTGCAGTATTAGTAAATCGTTTCTTATGTTTGTTCTTTCTGATTTTAGCAGTTTTTTTTCTTCGCTCATATTTTTCAAAATTCATTCCGAATTTTAAGTAGCTCGAAAAATTTTGCTGACATTTCAAGTTATATGAATTTTTACTGCTGATGCCTCTGTAAATACCCCTCTTGTTATTTAGGTGCAAAAAAAACTTTTTTTTTATTGAAAAATTTCTAGTAATCGATCTGCGAATTGAGATTTAGCATGTGAAACTTTGTCGTGTGCTAGCTTACTGCTACTAAATTTTAAAGGAATGAAAACTTGTACAATCTATACTTTTTTGGAAGTAATCACTAACAGACAATAACATTGATGGGATTCGGTGGAGAGATAACATCATGGTCATCATTGGAGATCTTGATTTTTTTTTAGTTCATACAAATATGCCAAGTTACTGGCCAGTTGGAAGAAGCAATTGAACAATGTTTGAAATTGGTGAAACGTGTTGAAAGTGGCCAAAGCAACACAAATTGTGTATATCTGTTATATGCCGAATCCATTCTGAAACTAGCTCAAAAATCAGCTTACTCTTTGCAATTTGGCCTCTTAAATAAATTTTTCGGCTTGATCGGAAAAGTTTTTGATCGGAATCCAGGATTCATATTACCCTTCAAACTTGCTGCTGATGCACTTTTGTTAACATCGAAGTATCACGCCGATACTTTCCAACATTTTGAATTTCCTAAAACATGGAAAATTGAGTCAGTGCCGGATGCTGTTGAATTAGCTGTTCGTTTTTATTGTTTCATGGTAAAAACATATCCGAACTGGGCTAGTGCCTGGAATGATTTGGGTGTTGCCTTGCTACGGAAATGCCAACTGACGGGAGATAACTCCGGATATTCGAAGTAAGTTTGTTCATTTGTTCCCTTCTTTCGATGTTTATCTCTCACTTATTCACTCTCTTAACTAATTTATGGTTTTGCGCGTGGAATAAATAGTTGCTGTTAGTATAAAGACTAAAAAAATCAAAATGGTGAATTAAGCTAACTTAGTGTTTATCTGATCTATTGTCTATCATGGATATAGATGATCTTATTTTTGCTGCTTGGAAAGAATGCTTTGTAATTTTTGCAGTGAAATTTGCTTTGTATTTGACCATCTATATTTAAAATGAATGCAATGCTTCATTCCTTTTTTACAATTTCCTGACTTCAATAGAGTAATTCGATTAAATAGTCGCTTAACTAGAATCTGGAGTCAACAATTCCAGCCGCAACAAATAGATGCTAGGGATAACTGTGGAGTAAAAATTTCCAACAAATCTTAATATAATACTATGCAGCCTTGTCGAGTGTTTTAAACGTGCCATCAAACTTTGCTTATCGAAAACAACGAAATCGATGTATTGGACAAATCTTTCGGAAGCAGTTGGATTTTTAGGGAATGCTTTAACAGTACAACATTGCCTTATACGGGCCTTGCAGTTGAACATAAGAAACGATACTGCTTGGTTTTTACTTGGCTTATTGTACCTAAAGTTCAATCAGGTGTGTAAAATAAAAAATCTGTTATTGAGCAGAGATAAAAGAAGAAAAACTTGCATGTTATTTTTAAAAAATATTAGACGTTCAGTTATGGACGTTATGTTTAAAATAGTTTTTTAATGTGGAAGATTTTGTACATAATATTATATTTCAAATATGCATTATTTGCAGTATGATTTAGCACGACATGTTCTCAATATGGCTCAGAAAATCAATCCCGAATCAGCAGAAATTTGGTGTGTTTTGGTAAGTATTTTATGATATTTTTGTAGGTTTTAAATCCATTATTGTTCCGGAAGCAATCGATACTTTATCTCTGAACGTCTTCTATTTTTTTGAAACGATGATATATTTGGGTGGTAGCGAACATTCTTATATGAATTAATAAAATCATATCAATTAGAAACAGTTTGATATATCATTATTTTATTTATAATTTGTTGTAGGCAACAATGGCAGAAGCAGAAAACCATTATGATACAATGGATTTATATAGACATTCGTTAACGCTGAGGCCAACTGTAAGTACCTTGTGATTTTAAATATAGGTTACTTAAATTTAACGTAAATTTATCTTCGAAGCTGCCTCACATAGTTTTCAAAGATTAATTTTCTGCTCATTTGTTGAAAAAAATTAAAAATGCTTCATTTTATATTGCCCTTTATACAAGCATCTGCATATTTCAGGAGCTGGCAGTGAAAAAATATACAAATTATTTGATGAAAAATTTAGCCGAAGGTAAACAATCTGATGATGCAACAATGTTTGATTTTGAATCCGTTCACGAAATTATTGGTTTGTTTCCCACTTAAGTAGCTCAAAATACAATGTTTTCAAAGCATTTATTTGTGGTATCTTAATTATGAATCATGTTGTGTTTTTTTGCCAACGTTTTTCAAAGTTTTTCAATCCATACGTCCTTCACGAGACTGAAATCGAAAGAAGTGATATTCAGTAAACTCATTTTTTAAGGAATTACCTTCAGGTATAAGTAAGCGCACTGATGAATTTATTTTCTTTGTAAGCTTATTGGCTGAACATTTCTGGTATATGGATTATGCGATGCATTATATCACTTGTTGCCATGACTGGCCAAATGAAGATATTAGCAAATTGCATAAACAGCGAATAGCATTACGAAGGTAAGATTTTTAGCCGTGTTAGCGAAAACCATTCAAGTTGCTCAGTCTTATCTCCATTCTAGGTTCTACGATTTTATATATCAGGAGCTTTCATATGATTTTTTAATAGTGAACATCACTGTATCATGGAAAGTATTCCTATGCTTTTTCTGCCCTTTAAAAATAACGTTTAAAGAACGAACACCGATTACTTTCTTGTTTTGAAACATTATCTATCTTCTAAAAGTCAAAAAAATTTCTGTAATTTTGTTTATATCTTTATTTGTAATTTTTGTTTTTCTTGAAGTGGTAATCAACATTTGTTGGAAAAAGCAGATTCAATCCAAAATTTGTATGTTCTATATTCATCGACTACACTCGAGATCTATGGTTTGTTTATTAATTTTTATTAACAAATTACCAAGATTCTCGACGAATTTCTCTTGGTAAAGTATTCCTATGCTTTTTCTGGCCTTTAAAAATAACGTTTAAAGAACGAACACCGATTACTTTCTTGTTTTGAAACATTATCTATCTTACTATGTGATAAATCTTATTTCAGAAAAGTTATTGCACGAATGTTCGATTTATGCGCACCTTTTTTCCACTCTCGAACTAAATGATGTTGACCGCTTTCGTGCAATTTTGATGGATTTGAAAAATAAAATACAAATTCCTCTTTTTATTGCTGCTGTTCTTTATTTCCAGAAAGTGAGCATTTCAAACGAATCTTTTTTTCTTTTCGTTTGCCAATTCATTAATAATGTTAACTGGCTTACGTGGTGAGATGTGAAGCATTTTTCCTGATAGTTGTAGGATGGAAGGTTCCTTTAAACGCTTTTATAATATCAGAACCACCAGTCTATGCACTCATAATTTTTTCTAGAAATTAAGTGATGATTTCGTCAGTGTCCTGCGTGACGTAAGGCCACGTCATCAGATTGTCCTCGTTTATCCTGCTTGTAAGCAGTACGATGAAAATGATGAATTTTCGTATAATATAAGCGAAGAGTTGAACGAAAAAACTATTGTACGATATGATAATATGTCAAAGGTATGATATCTAGATTGAATTCGACAAATTTACATATTTCATTTCTTCAAATTTTTTCGCAGAGTTTTTGAGACGCTTCGATTACTGAAACGCTAATTACCGTGAAATTGAGGATTAGCAATATAAGTTATAACATAGATGGTTTTTAACCGTAGTTATCTGGACAGTAGTAGTCCTTGACTTTTAGATAATTTTAGAACATAATCAATAAGGTCAAATAATTTTCCACATTGTTGACCATTTCCGAATTAAGTTTTTGAACTTTTAGCGACTATGCGACTTGTTGGCATTACGCGTTGAACAGTACCATGCAACGACCAGCATTGGAACAAATTGATAAAAAAATGTAAAAATCATACGCCTCATTGCAAATGACCTCCATTTAAAAGTGAACGATTTATGCTGATTATCTTTCAAATGACATGAAATGAGGGGAATTTGGATATACATAGGAAAACATCTAACTCTCTGTTAAAGCGGGTGAAATTTTATAAATGATTTATCATACTTTGTTTTATCATTGTAATTGTTGTTTTTGGCTAATGTACAATTTATTTTTGATGAGAATACCTCTAAAATCTAGTCTAAAATATGTTTGTTAAGTCTAAAATTTTGAATAAAGATAGACTATGTGCAGAAGCAATGGCTCGATAAACTGAAGTCGTTTGAAATAGCAGAAAGTCATATAGTGGACTAGTGGACAAATGAAGTGGGAAAGTTTGATGATTACAATCAAAGTTTCACTTCACTTTTATATTTATTAAATGTCTGGATGAGACATAACCTGTGAACAAACATGAAGTCATAGATACAGCAATTAGTATTAGATTTGAGATATATGACTGCTTAGCAAAAGAACATCACGTGCTATCGGATTTCTTAACTCATTCAGATAATATTTTCTAATATGACTGCTTAGCAAAAGAAATCACAATTCTAAAACTATATCAGTATAGCATAGCGAATTAGGAAATGAAGTTCAAATTATTGAACAGCTGTTTATCACTTAATCCTCAGATATCATTAGGCTAATTTATATCTTAATGATACTTGGGAAAAAAAAGGTTTTTTTCCACGCAAAAGGTTTTTTTTCATGAATGATTATTTAGTATCCGAAATAATTTATGAAAAGAACGACCTAATTTTCAATGAAGATCATTTTGTTCAGTTCTTGATACTACCACCTTCTATTTCGTATCGTCTTTACAGTGCAACAAAATATAGGTCGATGTTTACTACACGAAATGGAAGGCATGAATATGTTTGATTGACCTACAATAACACTACAAAATGGAATTGCTCGAGATCACTTAGAGATTCAAATTATATCTTTATAAACAATAGTTGTAATAATATCCTGACTGATTCTTCCTGTTTCTAAACTTTTACCATTATCATTTTACTCTATTAGAGCAAAGATTACGAATTTTTATAATTGATCTTGTAAAAGTATTGAATATTTATTTCTCTTCATTAATAATCATTTTTCATCATTTCGATCTTAAGATTAAATTCATCATTTAAATTCCAATTATATTTCTTTCTTTTCTATAAGTGAAAATATTGGAAAAAATTAGCTTAAGAATTTTTTAAATCCAATAGTAAATCAAGTTTCTTTTTTTTGAGTATATTATTAAATTTAAAAGATTCTGAAATAAATTTTTTCCTTTATTATCATAAAAGATAAATTAATGATTCATAGTTGAATAAAGTTGCTAGAATTGTTTATAAATTAATGATTCATTGTTGAATAAAGTAGCTAGAATTGTTTATAAATTAATCATTCATTGTTTAGTAAAGTTGGTAGAATTATTTGCCTCAGATCGGATTTGTAGAATTTTCTCGATAATAGTTACAAATTGGACAAATTGTGGTAAAAAATTCATTAAAAAAAAAATTGAAATAATTTCTTGTTCTACAAGGCAGGTGTATTAATTAAAAGTGTTGATTATTTCAAGCTATCTAAGGAAAAAAGAAATTTGAAGGGACTGTAAATAAATTTCAATGATTAGCATTTAGCTGTCAGTGTTTCTTCACATACGTTAAATTGATTTGGTAGAAAATTTGATTTTGCTATTATCTGTATCATAATTATTACCACCTTCAGTTAATGAATAAATGAATAATCAGCGAGCTTTTTTTCGTTAAAATTCATCTTCTTTGCTTTAATTAAGTATTGAAATAAATAGTCAAACAAAATCATGAATGAATATATAAATAGATTTCAATTTCAGAATTCATATCAGTTCAGCATGTAAGGCAAAAATTTACTTAAATGCCTAAATGAATACATTTAAAAGTTTTCTAAGTATCCTTGCTACAACTATCAATATTGAGTAAAACTTTCAATTAGGACTTTTATTTTATGTAGTTACTCATTCCGTAAATTTAAGCTTACATTTATTACTTTATTATATCCAAATTTAATCTAACAAAGTAAACTTTCAATTGGAGCGAAGCACAAAGCTTCAGAAAAGTATTCATTATGAAATTTGATGATGTGGATATAATATCAGCGCATTATCGCTCACTAATTCTTCCATCAATTGCTCTATCTTTCCACTTTTTAAAACATTTATTATTGTATATTACTTTTACAGTTCTTTGTACAAGATATCCAATTACAAATGGATATTCCGGACCGGAAAAAGCGCTCTTTAAAGCCTGTTGCCTTTGCAGCCGTTGCTTTTTCCACGATATCGGTGATGTGTTGCGTAATAACATTACCTATTATTTACAGTCATGTGCAAAATGTTCAATCTTTCATGCAAAATGAAGTTGACTACTGTAAGGTAAATTGTAAATTGAATCAATTGATTAGACAAACGTTTGATTAAATTATTATTAACAATTACTTGTAAATTTTGTGAAAAAATTTTGAAAGTTTGAAATGACTAATTAAATTAAAATTATTCGGTAAATAATTACGGTGTTGTTTCGATTTTCTGGATCAGATTAATGAATTGCATTTGATAGTAATGATACCTTCAAAAATGCACGATCGTTCATTTTCTAAATTATATAATTCAGCCAAGTTTTCCCACGGATAACTTCTTCAAAACTTTTGCAGCTACATTTTATTTTAGGAAATTTGATGAAAATGAACTTGTGAATTATTCTAGACTTGATCAAAAAATTTCCAGACTCGTTCACGAGATATGTGGAAAGAAATGGTACAGTTACAAACGATTACATCTTCCATAGCTGCTTCTACAACACCTCGTAAAAAACGTCAATATGGTGCAAAAAATGTTCGTCCAGAACAGGAAGTAAATGCAGCAACTAGTGGAAGTTGCTGTACATGCCAAATTGGACCACCTGGACCACCCGGTCCACCCGGACGTGATGGACGACCCGGGTCAGTAGTGCATTTTTTGGTTTAATTTCAATGTTGTTCGAGAAGTTGCAATCATTTTTTTTTAAAGTAGGTTGTTTCTTTTAGTATTCTTTCTTGTTTAGGCAACCGACATTCACAGTAGACCTTTGTTTTTCTTTAGTGGCTACCAGCTTGTTGAATGCTTGCTGCTTACTTATTCTGGTAACTAAAGTGAGTAGATTTTGGTGTAACCAAAAATTATAAAGACTTAGATTATTCAACGGATGATTTTTTAGGGCACCAGGACGACCAGGTAATCCAGGACCACCAGGACGTGATGGTAGTTTGCTTCCTGGACCACCTCCAAAGCCACCATGCCAGAAATGTCCACCTGGACCACCTGGACCACCTGGACCTCCTGGACCCAAGGGTTTACCTGGACCTCAAGGAGATGCTGGCACTCCAGGTGACCTTTATTGCAATGTGTCAGGAAATTGGTAATTGCCAGGAGTAATTTCGAAAATTCACTCCAGTAAGCGATCTTTATCAATCTTATCACTTATTATAGGAACTGATGGTGCTCCTGGTTTGCCAGGACAGCCAGGACCTCAAGGACCACAAGGACCACCAGGATTGCCGGGTGAAAAAGGACCTCCAGGGGAACCAGGAAAGATTATAAATGGTGCACCGCCTGGACCACCAGGACCTCCTGGACCTCCTGGACCACAAGGTAAACATCACTTTCATTCATATTTCCTTTTTTATCCACTTTCAAGTTCGAACAAAATAGAAGTAATATTTTAGGACCTCCTGGACCTCCAGGACGAGATGGCCAACCCGGTAAGCCAGGTGTACCAGGACCACCAGGTGATCCAGGAGAGAAAGGTGTGGACGGTTTACCAGGACCACATGGACCACCAGGACCTAGAGGACCACCAGGACAACCCGGTTCATGTGATCATTGTCCTCCGCCAAGAACCGGTCCTGGCTCTCTACTTAGATAGCAAATTTATAAGCGATTTCATTTTTTGTCTTCCAATTAATATTTGTCGTTTATATGAATGTAATGAATATATCAAATATGCTTCCATATGATCGTTTTGCTCTATTTTCCGACATCCTTTAAATGACATATCAATAAAAGGTTAGTCATAGGTTTTACATATCGCAGTCTGCCCTCGACCTCAATCATCGAGATATCTCTGATAAGATAATTTGTATCCATCCAATAGAACTGTAAGCAACAATCCTTCTTTTAATACGGTGATAAAAGTAACTAAGTTTAATCAACTTTTCCAAAAAAAAAAAGTGAATCGAAAGTTTATAATTTTCAAAATGTATTTAGTGATAAGATTAACTTATTTGTATATATTTAGTGATAAGATTAACTTATTCATTTTAAATTTCTAGTTTATCAATAACAGGCAAAAAGTAGGATTCAATCGATTCAACGAAAAGAAAAGAAAACCTGCTGCTGATGGCAATAGTTGAATATTTTATGTAAATTGAACAACTTGTTCCATCACTTTTCTTCAACAAAAAAGCATAGCAAGAAAAATGCCTTCAGAAAAACTGTAAATTAATGCAATGAGAAGATAAGAGAGAGAGAAAAAAAGAAAAGAGAAAAAGAGAGAGAGAGAGAGACAGTTGGGATTTCTATCTGAAAATTTTAAAATTCAAAGTTCTCTGAAAGAAGAATAATATCGTCAGACATTTTAGTGATTCATTCGTCATTTAAATAAACATAGTGTAATTGAATTTGTACATTTGAAATGAAAGAAAGGCCTCTGTTCTTTCAATGATTAATTCAATGATTAATTTAGTAAGAAAGAGAAAAACAAAAGAAAGAGGAAGAAGGAAAAAGATGGAATGGAAGTGATCGTTTATTAAACAAAAATTGTTGAATTTTCAACCTTCTTTTCTAACAAATTTTGAAATTCCCTATTTTATTTTATTAAGCATTTAAAACTTCAATTTGCATAAAATTTATAGTTTATGTAAATTTTCTAACTATTCCATCT